TCGACTCTTGCGTGATAAGGCACATGCACATTGTAATTTTTTAACAATAATTTTATTTTATTTTATTTTTATTTAATTTTTAATAAAAATTAATATTGAAATTTTTATTTTCACTTAATTTTTAAATTTCTCTAATAAAATTTTATTTCTTTGCAAAAAATTACCCTTTAAAACAAATAATTTTTTAGTCTCGACAAACACCCTCTACATCTCCCCATCTCTCGACTCTTGCGTGATAAGGCACATGCACATTGTCCCACTTGGTTGTGACCTTTTTGGTTGGTTTGAAGTTGATTAAATTAAAGTACCTCAGTCAACGAGGCAAAAGGCAAAGAAATCTGCAGCGAATATCTAATACCCAATGAAATGAATTCGATGCGTGAGAAAAGGAGCTCGATAAGATTACGCTGATTTGAGACAATTTGTCACGCACGGTCCAGTCTGAATGAGATAAAGCACAAAAATATCTAATATCCGGGACCCACTGATGCATGTGGTAAAGACTAAAGAATAAAAACTTAATATCAACGACAAGAATAGGCTAGTCTAAAATCTAAATAAAATCGAACACATGGTGACATTTTTTTAATTTTAGTCAAGTCAAGCAGAAAGCTATTTGTACCGTCCATATGCATGAAAAGTAGTAGTGATGTGACAGAGATAGATTCTCTCGAGACCCACTGACCCCACATAGTGAAGACTAAGACCTGAAAACTGAAAATCAACGACAAGGATGGTCTCGTCAAAATGAACTTAAGAAATGAAAAATGAAACACCCGTTTATGAACTTGTGGTAGTAGCTTGATTTAAGGTTTGCGAAATTGAAATAGCTCGGTCTAATTAAATTTAACTAATAAAGGATTAAATTTATATAGATATCATAATCACATTTTCAATTTAATTAAACATTTTCAATTTAATTAAGCATTTTCTAGTGTCTCTAATTAACTTTTTTATAGTATTAAAAATAAACTGTTAAAATAGTGTTGTATTATTGTTATTATTATCCCAGTAGT